CGATGTCATCATTGGTGGAAAAGTATTTGGTCATAAAAGTCAGAATAACAATTTTTGCATAATCTTTGAAAAGCTCTGGAACATCTTCCCAGATGGCACTCCAAAAACAGCAAGTTGAGCAAAAAACAATACATAAAATCAACACACCTCAGAGAATCCAAGGTCAATGATGTTTGCGACGGGTAATCTGCAGCTCCGCTGCCTATTGTTCAACATGTCAAGCAGTCGGGTTGATGGAAGATCCTGATTTGTCCAACTTTTCCCATTGGTCTTAATGAAAAAATTTCTTTAAACGTTCTTCATTTTGGACATGATCTCGAGTTTAATTTCTCTCCAGCGGTGGTCATGAAGAGCAGAAACGAAGGTGAAGTTCGTTTAAGGCGTTGAACACACTTTTATGGAGTCGGCTCCAACTTTTTCCACCGTGTTTATCTAAACCATATCTAGAGCCGACAGTTTGTTGACGCACTCAAGGTTGTGGACAAAAGAGATCTTTTCTGAATCTCAAATTTCTGCACAATTCCTCACAATCTTGTGGCAATCGACTGATGCTGGTTCCTCGTTTCCAACTGCTCTCCTAGAAGTTTTGCATCAGCAGGCCGATGATCGCCAACCGGATATCCCTGCTAGCCGTAGAGTTTTTGTTCTGATATGCTTAACCATAGTTCATAGTTCATCATAGTTCTGCTTACCTCATTTCGCGAATTGGACCATCATCCTCAGTCGTAGTTGTTGCGTTCTAATACATCGGTGTACAGGATTTAAACGTTTATTGCAAAGGTACAGTGACACGTGTGGAATAGTACCACTCCTTGCGCCATGCTCTCATGGCCTGCCACAACACGATACACAAAGTAATTTTGAGGATCAAAGCTTACCACAGTCAAAGATCCAAGAACACGCAGTCGTTCTTATTGCAACCTGAGAGACATCGATTGGAATGAAAGTGTTACGAAATATGATCGGAGTCACGACTGAAGCCTGTAAGGTGTCCACATCGATCAATAAGTCTACGCAACGCTCACCAATTATTCAAATTTCAACCAACACAGACAACTCATACAAAGAAACATCGGTCAATGGTCTTACTAGGGGCAGGAAATCCCCTGAGGCTGGAACACCGCTATGTGGCTACGAGGGCGTATCTCAGGTCACCTCGGTGCGGCGTCTCAGATTCATGCGTGAGTGTTCTCGAATGACGCGTGCACTGGAGGGTTGCGCTGCTCGACCAATTGATGTTTTAAGGTGATATAGGAGGCCTACAACTCACAAGTAGACAAGTATGGTAGTCGTCCTCACCCACTAGTCGCTCGGTGGTCAAATTCGATGAATTAGAGAGACCGGCCGCTGTAGAGCGCGGCACCGGTAGCCCCCAATTAAAATGTACGCGGGTTTTTGTTTTTTCCTTTGTCGTTGCATGCTACTGGTGTATTTAACAATGCTCGTGGTCAAAATGTTCGACTCTTTTATTACTGAGCGATGCTTCATACACTACGCTCGTTTCTTCAACCCTGCTTACAGGTAAGCTTGAAGAAACGGTGAAGATAGGAAATCCTTGCTCGTAAGTCCTTGTTTGGTGAGGTTGAAGTCTTCTTTAAGTGAATTTTGTGCCACAAATTCTGATTAGCACTGTTTCTCCAAGTTTAAGAGTTGAAAAAACGAGTTGAGAAAATAGTAGTAGTGTGAAACATTGACAGCAACAAGAAAATTGTGAATTCTAACTGAAAACGTTGTTTGAACACAAAAATAGCATGAAAGACGAAGACAATAGAAAAAAACATGAGTGAGTTCGAACTGCGCTCTACCATAGCCAGCTTGCTCTTCCAAATTCGAATTTGACCACCGAGCGACTAGTTGGGTGAGGACGACTATAGAACTGACTTTGAGAGACTGCGGTAATTATATGCGGCTGTGAGAGGCCGTGCAGCGCGAGACTGGCGTTTTGAGACACTTTGCCTGCGGCAGCGGAGGACTCCCTTCAAAGAATAACGTAACACGCGACATTT